GCCGTCAGAATTGACCTCCGACGCACCGTTTGGCCGCCAGAGGCGATTTAACACTTTATTGAACATTTGAACATAACTCTGCCATTTCGATTCCGATCATATTTGGGCATAAAACATTTTCGTTTTCTTTTGTTAAGAGGAACCCGAAACAAAAGTTACCTTTTGCACATTTCTCCCAAACCACTACCCCCGCCCCCTCCAGCTTACGTAAGTAAACACGTAAACCATTTCAAATATCACTTTCGTTCCTTCTCATCGGACACTCGCGAAACTTCGCAGGCTAAGTTCCGCAACTCTAAAACTAAAACACTCGGTTTGACTATCTGACATTTCAATCACTGCTGAGAAGGTATTAAAGTCTTCAGGTGAGCGCAGAAGCCACTTGCGCTCCCCCTCCCCTCGATTGCCGCGCTACCAACCTACTACCACCAAACTACGAATTCAAATTGAACGATCGCTTATTTCAAACATCTTCTATCAAACTTCTAAACTAAACTCGGTACGACCGGATTTATACTGATACTTCGTGCGCAGTTTGAAGTCAATTGAAGTTGCCTTTGAGAAACGTGTGTGATTACAGACAGACGGACACACAACCAAAGAGTTCCCTGCACCTCATGACAGCAAAGGCTTCGCTAACGCTCAGCCAATCATATTTCTGGGCGTACTCGTTATTTTCATAAACGAACTTACACATTATTATCGATTACTATTACGAATTTTATCAATACTGTGTCTGGCTGCAGCTCCACCGGCTAACCAGCCTCCGCCGTTTGGAAGTCCACAGCCCCTTTGAGGCGCCACTGCTCAACCTCAGCTTCCCGACGGCCGGCGCTTCCGGCCTGGAGTGGCTGCGTGTGGGGCTGTATCCGCTGACCACTGCGCTGGCACTCATGCGCGCGCATGCTGGCTCGCTACGCGTCCTCGAGCTCGTGGCCGCTTCCAGAGAGCCGTATGGCTGCCCCGACTTAGCAGACCAGCTCAGTCGATGTGGCTTTCAGGTGAGCACACATTACTTTGCACTGTGCACTTTTAGCGATAGGTCTCTTACTCACCTAATTCATTGACTGGTATTTGGACAGATAACATGATAAGTTTCTGGAAATACTTTATGAGCTATTGTAATCGATTTTTGACTGTAGCAGTCGATTATTGACTCTGGGAACCAATGTTCCTACAATCTGCATATTATTTCCCAGAGTCAATAATCGACTGCTAAAGTCATCAATCAAATATAATAATAGGTCATATAGTATTTCCAGAAACTTACCATCTGTCCAAATACCGGTCAATGTATTAGCTGGCACAGCGAATCTTTTTTTGCCGTGACACACGAGGTCGTTTGCATAAGCCCGCTGGATAGTTTTTTCAAAGCGGAAGAGCGGGCTAAAAAGTGACGCTGTGTCAATCTAGGCGTGAGTTGATGATTGTCGCTGGATTGTCCTGATTCGGGCTTCCGCGGCCCTCTGTCCCTCCGAGTGCATGGACAATGCGCGAGCTTCGGAGAGGCATTGATGCCTTTCGTTTTCGCTCTATTTCTTAGCGCTGTTTACTTCTGGTTGATATTCTAGCATTGACGAAGAAAAAAAAAATATTCGTCTGTAGACGGTTCAGTTTAATCTGACTCGGGCCCTGTCGGCTGTAGCTACAATCGTGTAGCTACAAAGAGGGACGTACTAAGATGCCCTGATGCCCTTTTGGACGCTTCAATAAATCCCGCATAGCAGCCGAAAGAGCGGTTAGCTGCACTCAAGCTCTATTCACGCACTTTCGAAATAAAGGACTGCGAGCGATCATCTGCTAAAAATTGTTTTTACCCTGGATCGTGAACCGTTCGTTGATTTTGTCTTCAGGTGCTGGAGCGTATCGTGTTGTGGCGCGGCTCCGTTACTGAAGTGTTTTGCTGGCACGAGGTTGCAGAGTGTGCGATGCAGAAAAATACCTTACTAGTGGCCCTGAGCAATATTAAAGTAATGTGCAGTGACTGTGACCAGGTCGAAGAGACAGAACTGAACTAAAGAACACGTATTGTCGAACATAATGAATAGTGGGACCTTTTACATTGATCTCAACTGTCTAGGAAAATCCCTGTAACCTGTGCTGTGTTGGTACCACGACGCAGCGAGACCCGGTGGCGACTCTTCCTATGTCGCCTGGCGCAGAAGGTTTCACCAAATAGAGGGGTTCAGCTGTGGCCGGCCAGGACGAGCAAAGGAGGAAGATTTTACATGTAAGATGGCCGCCGGGAGCCGGGGGGATAGTGCGGGGAGGAGTGGAGGCACGGCAGCCATCTTGCTTCTAACAACTTCTACCTTTCTTCTTCTTGGCTGACCACAGCTCAACCCCTCTATCGCGAACCTTTCAGTTGGTACCCGCCCCTCCCGCGTACCGCATGATTACAGCGCTGTGGCGGTCGCGGCAGGTACCGATCCAAAGGTACGCGATCTGGTGACACCTTTCGCGGTGAAGAGGGGTCCCCGAGGTTTTTTACATCGTGGTTGGCATTTAACGTGTTTGTTTCATTTCTTGTTGTTCAAACTAATATCAATCATCGTATTTATCAACAGAGTTGAAATTTTGATGTTTATGTACAATTACTGACGGGTTTGTATTAAATCATTGTTCAAATCTATGTGCTAATAAAGTATCTGTGTCATCATTGAAAATTGCCTCAAAAACGCGAAAAACCGTTTTTTTACACCTGTTTTTTTCGGTTTTGCACTGAGGCGAAAAGGGTGATGCAAATTTTTGATCGGACTTTACAGGGGTGGAAAAGTTATTTCGTCTTTACCAGTATTTCAAGTTCAGCCGGAAAAAGTACTGTGTATGACCCTCGTTTAGGCGCTAGTCGCCTCGCAAAAAGTCGTAAAATTCGCAAAACTACTAAAAGTCCCGAAAACACTGTAAATCCTGGAGCGAGGTTCCTTACTTAAAAGAAGCGAGACAATTTTTGATTGCCCATATTGAGCGATAAGTCTCGAACCTCACTCTATATTGGAATTAATTTTATGACCTCGCTCAATACCAGTTATGGTTTAGAATCCTCGCTCAATACTAGTAACAAATTTGAAATGACGCTCAATTTAAGTGATGACCAAGGAACCTCGCTCAATTTAGGTAATATGACTCAAAACCTCGCTCAATTAAGGTAATAATTTTGGAATCTCAATTATTTCTGGATGTAGCCAGGGGTCAGTAACGCAAGAGAGTTACGTTCCGTCACAAGTTATGGAACGAGTAACACTATCGTAGTGCTTGCCGTTACGTTACTGGTAAAGTAACTTTACTTCCTGAAACGTTCCGTTACTGTAACACGTAACGCAGTTGAAAACGACATGATTTTGCAGTGTTTACCTGGTCCACGGGCAGGTGTTTGCCTATTGAATTTAGTTCCAGCTAATATTTTGACGATACACTTGTGGTTGCGGAGCAATCGCATCTGTTACACTGCGTTACAGTTACTCTAAGAGTAACGGCACAGCATCCTCCAGAACTGTTACTGTAACGTAACGAGTGCGGGCGACGTTTGGGTTATTGGTCGTAACATAACGTGGAACGCTAGCATTGTAACGCATTTTAGCGAAACAAAAATTCTTAGAATCGTCTTTTGTTTGCGTACCAACTTTCAAAGTCGAAGTACAGGCACCTTCATGAGGTGAGCCCTGAGTTACAAGCATCACGCTTAACAAAGCTAAGATCCGTACACATACTTCCCCCTCCCCCTCATCCTCCTCACACCTAAAAATTTACCCACCCCGTCCTCACACTTTCGGTGACACATACTTTCGTAAAAAAAAAAATCCCTGGCGAACCACCACTCCTATACTGGGCGTGGTAGTGTACTATCGGGTACGTTAAGATGCATTTTCGGTCATTTTTACTCTTTCTCGAAGTATAATTCCCTCGTTCTGGAACTACAATGACCCACAGGGGCTAGAAACTTCTTTTTGTACCTACTGAAAACATTTGGCACAGGTGTGCAGTTTCTGGAATGCTCTGGGTCGATTTCCGGGCAAAGCTTACATTTGAGTGGGAAAATAGCGATTTTTTCAAACTTAAAGGCAAAGTAGCGACCTGAAGATCATGTAGGAAAAAAGTAAGAAAATTATTCTAGGAAACTGCAATGAAAATGTAGTAATTTAGGAGGTAAGGAGTTTTCAACATCGAAAAAGGCCTTCCTAAGCTACACCCTATTGACTAACACGGTAATGGTAAAATTGCGATGGGGATGTATAAACTTCCAAAAGGCGACCCCTGCACCTGGTTTAGTGAACAGCCCGACAGCCGTCATGACTGCATGCACCACTCGCTTCTTGTGGTATCTGTAGCCTCAAGTTATGTCAAGAATCGCAAGTGGACAGGGTGGGGCCAAATAACTGCGTCTCTAGTACTCGAGGGAAGTCCTCCTCGCCCAATCGCCCGCGCACTCATATCCAGAAGGTGTACATTAAGTTGAATGCATATAAATTCAAATAAATACTAAAAGATATCTAGATCTCACTCGAGTGAGTATATTAGTTTATTCATTTGTTAAATTGAGAAATCATTGGACAAATTTAGGTTAGCCCTAAATGGGCCTTTAGCTGTTAGCTACCTTTAATTGCTTCTGTAAATAAAAAGAAGATTATTAGTTGAGAATAATCTGATAAAAGTGTGCAGTGTTTCTGCACAGCTACTAACTACAAAGAGTACATACACACAACTATTACATACCAGTCCAGTTGCAACCTCAATTGCTTTCAAAAACTCAGAGAGTTTGGTCTTTACTAAAATTTGTCCCTCTTTATTAAAGTGTATCAGATCAATTTCTCCACTTTTAAATGTCCTAGGGGAAAAAAGTAATTAGTGATCATGTGCTTTAAGTGGGCTGGGGGGAGCGGGGGGGCCTTGGTTTGGTTAAGTCATACAATTAATAGCAGTTGTTACCTCTGAAAAAGACCCATTTTTGGGGTGCCACTTTCATCCACAAACAACTTGTGTAAATCAAACACTTGTACATTGTCTAGGAAACAATAAAAATTTTGTGAGCTGGCAATCAAGGTTAAGATATCAAAAAGCAAAAAGAGGGGAAAAAAGGGGGAAATGTCACCTATTCCTTTTGCAACTTCCTTTATGAGGGCATTTATGCCATCCACTTTTTCCTGGCTGTCCAACCGAGGAATTGCAATTCCACCATGGTGGAATGGTCATGACTTTTGAATCACTTCCTTCAAAGCATTTTAAAACCGCAATGAGAGCATTTTTTGTGCAATCTCGTGGGACATTCTGAAAATAACAACATTGTGTTGTAACAATTTAAACCCTATGTAGCTCATTAAACAAAATCTACAGTGTTTTTACCTTCAGTGCATCATTTGTGCCAATTAAAATTGCAAGCCTCTGTGATAAGGGAGGGCAAGATTTGGACTTAATTAGCCTGTGCAGTTGACTGCATGTTTGCCCATGGACAACATAGCCAATCTGTTTGCCTCTGTAAATGAAAACAACGTGTGTTAAATTTCAACTTTTCAGCATGGACATATAAGTGGATTAATATACTTTTTTCATTGAAGTCCTTACTTTGTGCATTGTACTGCCCCCTAATCGGTGAAATGCGAGATGCCATGCTGTCGCCGATTAGTTGGTAATTTTCAAATATTGGTGCCTAAAGGGACAAAGCAAGGGGTGAACATAAACGTACTTTCGTGCATTAACTGTTCACGGCGCCGCACGCAATGTGTTACCGAATCTCTCAGAACATTTGCACAACCCAAAATAAGCTTATAGAGGGGGGGGTGGGCGCACAATCAAATAATCAAAAGAAACAAAAAAATAATGTTTTACGAATCAAATGTCAATGGAAATGTACTTACTCTCTCTTCAGAAGATCACAGTTGAATCAAAAACCTCCTTCAACCACTAAATCTCACAATCTCAAGGAAATCACGTAACCACGGTCGTATCAATCAAGATGGCGGCGCGTGGGGACGAGCGCTTCGAGCGGCGGCCGCTAGGTGGCAGAGCGGCCGCTAGGTGGCGCGGCGGGCGGGCGGCACGTGACGCAGCGGACCAATCACAGCTCAGTAGCTCATACAGCCAACGTAACAACGATTATAATTCAAATTAAACGATAAATATTTCAAATCAAACCAAAAGTAAAACTAATGCACACAGATAATCCTCGTAAATTATCGATTCTAAGACAAACGCGCTTCCCGCTGTCAGTGCAACACATTTTGAGGAGATACGGTGTGTTACGCACAGACAGACAGACTCACGACGGACACATAGCCTGACCCCTCATCGACTTGGACTGAGCTTCGCTCAGCGATAACTTCAGTTATTAAATTGAACACTTCTGAACACGTAGGTATTCTTAGGAAATAGATGTTTTTCTTTGTATTTGTTGTTACAGATCGTCCTTGTTTGTTCTTTTCACTACCGCCTTGTTCTTGTTCCACTACCCAGGAGTGGAGAATAATAAAGACGGTTCAGATTCCGATTCATTCAGATACAGATTCAGAGAAGCGATTGCGAAGTGCGATCTCTCGAGGCTCGCTCGAGTTGCACAGAGATGATGTGACGAACTGCTGCTAGCAGCTAGCGGTACCGCGGTAGAGTGGCGAAACGAAAATTGGTGGTCTGCTGTGTATGCATGTTTACACAAACTCACCTCTTATATCTGAGTGCGTCTGAGACGAAGGTACATAGTCATATTCTCTGTTCCATTCTACCATTTTTATTATCTTTAATTAGTTATTTGCCATTCTCTCCCCCCCCCCTCCCCATCTACCCCAATGTTTTGCAAGACCTTTCGGCCACAGGCCACAGTTAACCTTTTGGGACATGTTGGCTAGAGCCTACTGAGCCAAACAATTCGTCAACCCATGATAGTTTCTTTTGGTTTTGTTTTTTATTTTTTAATTCACCTATTTGTGTGATGGTCTAGTCTTTCACATACAATAATGCATACGGAAATTTCTCTGGGTATTTATAGTTGATGAGCTTGTTGCATTTTGTTTCACTTGCCAACAATTTTAGTAGAGCACACTTTCACGGGTATTTTGTTTACCTCAGCCTGACTTACAAAATTTACACGTAAATTAAAGTGAAATGTTAGAACCACAGTATCAGCCAATCTAACAACTATTCTATATTTGTACAGGTTATTGATCATTTTGAGGCAGTGATGGTGGAGAAACTGTAGATAGTTCCGTGATTGTTCCAGTGCTGTAGGATGTATAAACTTCCAAAAGGCGACCCCTGCACTCAGTTTGGCTACTTAAAAAAATTCTATGTGTTGTCCTAAGGGATTGTTTAAGGGGACACTATGGTGAAATTGGCATGTCATAGAATAGCTTGACCCCCAAAAAAATTTTTGTCACTTCTATGTAGTCTTCCCTTAGATATGTTCAGAGAAAAAAAACTGGAATTTTGGGGCCAGTGGTTTCTGAGTAATCCACTTTTTTCATTCAAAACAGACCAATGTTTGATAAATCCCATGCGCAAACTGGGTTGCTGAATGTCGCTAACTTGTGTGTGAAAATGTTCTACTATGCCCCAAGAATAAAATCCGGCATGGACATCAAAATCAAATAAGAGGTGTGTCCTCAGTGAAGTTTTATATAACAAATTTATCTAAATATTTAAAAAGACCCAAAATTGAGTTAAAAGTAAATTTTATGGA